CGCGGGCGGGGCCCGGGCGGGGCGCGGCTGGGGTCTTGTTAACGCAATTAATTTAATTTGGGGCAATCGTGTCGGGCCCTTCTTTTTACCTCCAAGATCTTTGGGCTGGGCAGCAACTGCCACCAAGCGCTTCTCGATTAACAAGCACGATTGAGGCTTTAAAGTGGAAGCCTGGGGAAAGGCCTAAACTTCGCTCGCAGCGCGGCGGCGCTTGCTCTTTGGTCACTGGAATTCGCAGCAGAGCGTGGGGGCCTACGCAGACGCGTAGGGCTTGCCAAACCGGTGCATCTGCGCTGCTCAGAACAGGTGCAGTAAGAGTTAGCGAGCATGTGTAAAAGTTATCATGGCTACTAAACGCGTGTCCGAGCAGCTCGGCAAGGGCTCGGCAAGCGCGACCTGAACCAGCACAAGTTTGGCGCTGACTCCGCTGGCTAACTTCCCAAGCCCCCGTAGACTCAAGTAGCGGCGGGTTCAGAAGTTTGGCAAGCCCAACAGGCCTTTCCTCAATCTGAAAAGCAAATCAGACTTCAGCGTGAATTTCTTTTGAACTTCTGACCGCTAAGTCAAGCAAATTGTGTGCTCTGACTGTTTTAGGCTGACGCAGCTCGTTGGAAGCAGTAAACGTGTCACAGGGCTGCGGTCGAGATCTGTGCTCGGACTTGTGCAGTTCGAGAGCTTGCGTCCTTGCGCAAGGAAAAATCACAACTGATCCGGCTAAGAGCGCCGCTGCCCGCTGCGACTTTGCGGAGATTGGGTTGGCCAGTGGCGCCGTGGGCAAAGAGGCTTGCCCCTGCCACGCTTGTTCACCGGTCCTGATGCTGCTTGCGCAGCGCCCGCTGCGCCCTCGCTCGGCGCTTGCTGGGCTTGTGCGCGCGCACCAGACCCTGGCCCTTCATTGTTGCGCTGCAAGTTGGGGCGTGGGAGGCGTTGCGCCTGACAAATTGGGGGCTGTGAAGATCTGCGCTTCTTACAGGGCGCGGAAGGATTTAACGCTAGGCATCGAGCTTACAGCCCTGAGACAGATTGAAGCTGAAGCACACAATTAAATCAGGGCAGGGCTTCCCTTCACAGTGTTCCCAACTGGCAGGGGCTGTTTCCTGACTCTTTCTGTAAATTAAATTAATTGCGTCTATCTCACGCTAGCGCTGAGGACCCGAGTTCGGCCAGGGCTGCCCCTCACAGTTCCGGACCGGTCCGGAAGTGTGAGGGGCTGTTCCTGGACTCTTTCTGGCATGTCTAAGAAACTCTCCGGC